GACGAAGCCTTTCCTGGTGTCAAGACCTAATTTTTCCTCCGTTGGGTATCGTGATGGCACCTTGTCTTAGGGACTAGGTAATTCTAACATTAATTGAAATAACATTAATATTTAAATAACATCTAACAATTTGAAGTAGAAATATTTTTAAAATTTACAATCCCAAAATCGGTAGTACAAGTCATAAGCTCTACAGAGTGTTTGCTAGAAAACTTCTAAATACAAATGTTCAGAAATAAGGATAAACAGTGTAAGTAAAAAATAAGAAGGTGACTCCGAAGCCTCCGAACGCAACAAGTTTACCTTGAGTCTCCACAGCAATGATCCGCACAGGTACTAACGATCAAGCACCCATAGCTGCACAAAGTGCACAAGTGTAGTATGACTACACCACAGCGGCACCCATCAAGTATCAAGACTAACCTCGATGGTGTAATGACGAGGAACAGTCAAGACACCTACTGGACTAAATAACCTGAACGAGTATAATTGTAGGAACAACAAAGTGCGATATCTATACAAGGACTACGTATAATGACAATGACAATAATACAAAAATTACAGTAAGAAGGGTAATCAACAACTAATAGCAGAACACCATAATAATGAAACAATAGAACTAGCGATCACGAAGAAACGTTAGAACTAGCTCACAAGGAATAACCACAATAGAGAATACTAGGCGTAATAAGAACAACTCAACAAAGGACAAAATAATATGTAACAACGATCCCACCATATACAGTTCAACAGCAAGGGAGCTAGCACGAGTCAAATAATTCCATATAAGGACAATTCAACTACGATATAGGATATCTAAACTTCTTTTAAGGTTGGGCAATTACGAAGAAGATATAGCAATTCAATTAAGGATAAGCGGCGGAAAGATAATAATAACCTCAATTAAGACTAAATAATTTCAGGGGAGACAATAATAATTTCAAATAAAGACAAGAAGTTGTGAAAAGATAGCCTGTCAATAGTAGAGGCAGAAATCTTCAGTTAAGTCAAATAAGCAATAAGAGTGAGTGATAAAGCAATTAATCCCAATTAAAGCAGGTAGATTGAAACTAGGAATTAAGAAAACATAATCGAAACAAAATAATTTCGTACTCAGTGAATACAAGAACCTAAGACCCTAAAAGGCCAACTTTCCACAAATAAGCCCGAGCACATACTCGTCGCCTTGCGTACACGGACTACAATTAGCATAAAAGACTTAAATCCTAAGGGGTGGTTCCCCCACACAAGGTTAGGCAAGATACTTACCTCAAAGAAGACAAATCGATACTCTAAATGAACTTCTCGGGTGAGATGACCTCCGGACGGCCAAAATCTAACAAAAATAACTTCAAAGCACAAATAAGACTCATAAGAAACTATTAGGGATCATAAAGCCACAATATTTGTCAAAATCTAAAAATCACCCGAAAAGTCGACCCCTGGGCCCGAACCCGGAACCCGACAAATTTCACAAACCCGAACCCCCATCCCGATACGAGTTCAAGCATACTAAAATTATCAATTTTCGGTACAAATTCGTCCCTCAAATCACGATTTTTCATTTTGAAAATTTTCTTCAAAAACCTCCATTTTCCTCCACTCAAAACACAAATTAAATGATAAAAATAAAGATAAAACCATGGAATATAATAAATTCTAGGTGAAGAACACCTACCCACTCGGTTTCCATGAAAAACCCACAAAGAAGCTCCCAAAACCGAAGTCTAAGACACAAAATATGGAGAAGGCGAAACCCTCGATATAAACTCTCTGCCCAGGACTTCCGCATCTCCGGACAAATAAGCGCATATAAACTATCACATTTGCGGGTAGGGCTTACCAGACCTAGGTACGTATCTGCAGACAATATGGCCGCACAAGCGGTGCCGCAGAAGCGCTGACAGGAGCGCAAAAGCGGACTCCTTCGCAGATGCGATCTCTCAACCGCAGAAGCGGCCTTCCCACCTGCGTGCTAGCATCTGCAGAAGCGATCTAGCTCCCAGGCCTCAACGATCGCAGAAGCGACCAGGCTCATGCAGAAGCGGAACCGCACGTGCGCTCCAAAGATGCATGTTCAAAAACACCAGACCTAGACCCGTTCAAAACCATCAAAAACATCCAAAAACTCGACAGAAACATGTCCGGGGCCCCCGGGATCCCTTCTAGGCATACCAACAAGTTCCATACCCTAATACGAACCCGCTCGAGGTCTTAAATCACGTCAAACAACTCCAAAAATACGAATCTCACCATGCATCGAACTTATGAACTGTCAAATCTTCCAACTTGTAAAACCCTTGCCGAAACCTATCAAATCAAGACGGAATGACGCCAAATTTTGTAGGCGAGTCCCAAATGACATAACAAATCCATATCCGGACGCACGCCTATGTCCAAAATAATCATACGAAGCTGCTCAAAACCTTATGCCATTTAACGGAACTTAAATTCTCAAAACGACCGACCGGGTCGTTACATCCTCCCCCTTTTAATAAACGCTCGTCCTCGAACATGCCAAGAATCGCCCCGAAGTCATGAAATCACTAAATGCATACATCCAAGATACACCCATGGGTGACCGCACGTCACCCCAATCCACATAAACCTGACGACATCATCTTACCTATAATTTATCCCTTTTTCCAATACAAAAGAAAAGCCTTAGAGTCAAAATTCTCACTTCCCATTCATCTTCAAAAGGTCCGATTCTTACATTCACACCCGGTATCAGTCTCAACCAGCTGCAACAAATTATGCCTACACCCACAAGGTACAACCACACAATGTGACACGCTACACATAGGCCAATAATAACATTGCTGGTCACAACAGCTGCCCGAAATCAATCCAGCACCAGCAATTAGCCACATACTCGTTAGAACTCTATTTCAAACCTCCACAACACCGACAACAATGCAAGGAACGTGAATACCTCATAATTATACACCCAAACCAACAACTCACAACTAGTTCAACACATTGTTGTACGTCGAACGGATCACTAAACCAACTTGAATCTGAACTACGATTCAGATCAAGTCTTACCGAAATAGGATTTCCTTTTCGTGCCATATGCGCTTAGACTTTACTTTTTCCCCTTTTTTCTTCCCGGTCCAATATTTGTTCTCGAAGGTCTTCGTTTCCGTGTAGAAGCAAACTCTCCAAATTTATGACCAACCTTTCCTTCAGTAATCTTACAACGAACAGGAGTTTTTCCATTGTAAATTCGTACGGAGCAATCAACGAATTCCGGCGAAATAGAAGATCTACGTGACCAAATTTTCCTGTTAAAAAGAGGATCTCTCTTCTTCTTCATTCTCAAGAGGAATGCATCAACAAAACTTCCCTTCCATATAGATCGTCGTGGCATGAACTAATTTCTTCGCTTCGATTCCGCCCCTAAAGCTAGCTCCTACTCCTCCTCCTTCTCCTTTAGGATAGGATCCTCCTTGGTCCTTTTTACATAACACTCTCGGCCGCCCAAGAGGACTGGCTATCTTTCTCTTTATACGCAATATCTTGAAAGGCAAAGAAAAACACCTACCTTGGCAACGTCATTGACTGATAGTTTATCTTCCGAACCGGTTAAATACCTATAACAAAAAAAGGCCAAAGCCCGCTGAAGCACTGGAAAAATGTTGACCACGATTTCTAACGCTTTTCAAAAACCATTTGCTTGCAACGCCTTGAGTGGACAGATAATTACGGCCACTAGATCCTTCATACTCTTACTAAAGTACACTTAAGACTCAACCAATCTTGAAAGTTCCGTGGACAACTGGCATACCTTGAATCTAGCCTGCAATCCTTTCGCACTTCTCTTATCAAATTTCTAGTTAGAGAGAGAGCTAACCGCTGCCAAAATGCAGCAGTTTTTCTTATATACGATAGCACCCCCTGCCCTCCTTGTTCAAGTAGTTCAAGAGTGAAAGGGCGTAGTGAAAGAAGGGAAAGATATCTTTCAAAGATATTCTACCCATAAAGGCAGTTCTCTTATATGGCAATACTAGATTGGCGAGACAAGAGAGAAAGCTTAGAAAGTAGTAAGGTGTCTATGGGGCTTGCCTTACAGGTAGTGACTATACCACTTACATATCGAACAGATCTTACTCTCAATGGAGTCATTTCGATATGACCTAGGAACTTACAGAATACCGAACTTGGATAATCGGTAGAAGAATGATTGGCTAGATCATTTGCTTCACTGCGGAAGAACCCCTTTCTACGCTACGTTCCCAATAAAAAGCCGTCATCCTTCTGTCGCCTGTTAGCCACACCAGACCAAGAAAAGGCAAACTAATCAACCAAGACTCAGTCACGAACTTTGTAACCTCACGGCCACTTTCTTTCCTAGAGCTTGCAGCCATTATCTTCGCTTTTCAGATATGGTGACATTACTTGTATGGGGGGAAGTGCCAGATCTTTACGGATCATAAGAGCTTGAGGTACTTAGAACCAATGGGCGATGCTTGGTTACAATTTCGAGAATTTCTAATCATATTCTTCTTCTTTCTAATTCATTCACTTCAAGACTGGTTTTGAACGCCGCGTAACATCATCTTCAACCAACCTCCACCGTACACCAACCAGGAAGAAAGATTTAGTCCCTTTCACCTTTCCGCCAAACCAGAACGAGAGCCAATCGGGTCGATCAGAATGTCCTTATTTCACAGCGCTATAACATTCTCAAGTTAGAGTCTGACTATCTCTATTCTAAGTAGCACCCGAGAAAGCACACGCTAAGCAGATCTTTACCAAAGCCATATCTCCATAAGCATCCAAAGCTGCCTACTCATTGGTAGTGAGAAAGTAAGAACATAGATATGTTTACGAAGCCAAGAGCCACTCATCTGAGCCAGCGGATTCGAATTCTGCTATGCCGGTGCTCAAAGCAAGAACGCAACGACTGCGTAAATCTTTGGTCTGCCTATCATTGTCCATGTTGGGCTGACTCCTTTTTTTAGGCAAGAGGACCCCTACTGATATTGACTGACCTGTTGATAGGCTATAAGTAGGCCGTTTGCTATTGCTATAAGGGCTGCTCGCCTTTATACGGCTTGGCTTCGCTATCGCTCGTAATGGTCGACAGTATTCCTGCCATACCAGAATTCCAATTATTTAGAGCTAGAAGCTTCGCCAGAAGCAAGCAAGATGAGGTCGCTCTGCTTCGTAGACAAGGCTCGTTCCGTACTTTACTTACGAGCTCGTGTAGTACTCACCCCTATCTCTAAAGGGGCTTATGCACTCCACTCGCTGTCTACTAAACGAGCGTTAGAGCGAGCGAGCGAAGCCCTCAATTTAGTGGCTTCCCTCACCCTCCTCTTTCATTTCCGCTTAAGCTTCCCCGGTTTGTGGGATTAATTGATTGGATACCCGAGACCCATAATCTTTCCTAGGAACAGCTTCTACGACGATAGGCATAAAGGCATGATTAGTTCCACAAATCTCACTGCACTGACCATAGTAAACTCCTTCTCGTTGTACCGAAATAGAGGTCTGATTTAAACGACCAGGTACAGCATCACATTTGACACCTAAGGAAGGTACAGCCCAACTATGAGGTACATCAGCAGATGTTACAATAAAACGTATATAACTTTTTGCTGGTACAACCACTCTATTGTCGACTTCTAATAAACGTGATTGACCCAATTCTGGATCATCTTCTGGAATCGTATAACTGTCAAAAGTGAGTGACTGTTCATCGGAACTGTTATAGTCCGAATACTCATAAGGTAGGGTCGACGCCCGCCTCCCCCCAAACTGTACTTGCAAGTTTCCCCGCAAAAAGCTCTCCACGCCTACTCTTAGAAAGAACACTATTTTTCTTTAGTTAGGTAGTTCTCCCGACCGTAAGACCCTTTATGAGTAAGGTTAATCGAAGGCCGGGGAAAGTTTATTGGCAAGAGGGAACCATTTCTCACCCAGCCCTACCTACCCTATGTATTCGAGGGAGAGGCTGGAACCGAAAAAGACCAGGTTCCACACATATGAGACAGGCAGAAGGTATGGGACGAGCAGTTTCTTGAAGAGCGAATTCGATCCTATAGTCGTCTTCTTTGTTCGAAAAATGCACAGTGGAAAGGGATGCTAGTCGGCTCGGCGAAGTTGTAGCCCAAAAAAAGAAGATCCAGAGTGATTCCTCACCTATCCTGTCAGGGGCCCAGTGGAACGCTCGAGTATAGATTCCCTATGCTCATGTAAACGGCCGGGGCCGGCCGGCCCGTAGATCTAAAAGGATCCAGCCATAGGCCTGACCGGATATCGTTTGTCCACAAACAAAACAAAAACAAAGTAGGTTTTTAGTAGTAGTTCATGAGACCTCGAATTCCCACGTTCCAGCGTGCATTATGCCAACAGGTCCCACCACCAACTCTAGCTGAGAAGTTGAGTCACCCTTCTTTTTTTTTTTTCTTTCAGAAATAGAATAGAATAAAGAATGAGATAGTCTATATCCTGTATCGATCATAGGATCACTCTATGAATAGGTCAATTCTCTGTGACCTCCCACCGTTCACGACATCCCTTGCTTCTCGCAAGAACGGCTCCTCGGTGGAGGAGTAGAAGCGCTGGTCCCCTTCGGTCAACTTGCTTGTGCCTGCTGTTACCTACCGTAGGACCTCCGTCCCCGAAGCGAAGAAAGAGGAGCAGGAACAAGAGGTTGTCCTCTCCCGGCCCAGTAGTTCCGCAACTACTACCGTGGTTGTTGCCAACGGGGATCCCCCATTCCGAAAGGTTACTAGGCCGGCCGTTAGGTCCAAAGTTGTATACCACTGCTATGGTGCCGATAGATTCACTACTTCAGCGCCGTTATCGGACATTGCAGGCTGAGCATCTATTTCTCGTGTATCGTTCCACACCGAGAAGAGGGATGTGTACCTCCAGCAACAACAAGAATGGAACCATAGGCTCCTATGCTGGGAGCATTTCGGGGTATAGGTCTAACCACCTCAACTCCCCGTTTCTGGCATGCTATAGTTATTAAAGTCTCTCGACGGCGGGAATGGGAGATTACCGGTAAGCCAGATGCTTCGCGAACCATATTCAACTTTAAGGCATTTCGTTGCACTTTAATCACCCTCGTGAAGAGGCGCACTCCGATACCATTGATGTCCAATAGCTTTTATAGTAATGGCTGGATCTACTACTACCTCGTCCATTGTGTATAACAGAGCAAATGATGGTATAGCAATGAACATAAGGATGATACTAGGAAATATGGTCCGAAGAATCTCGATAGTAGTTCCATGAACAACCCTTTGCGGGATTGGATTTTTTTTATAGTGGAAATGCCATAAAGCGCGACCCAAGATCCATGATACGAAAACCAAAATCAGAATAACGAAGAAAAAGACATCGTGATGTAAGTCTGTTATTCCTTGCATTATAGGTGTTGCTGCGTCTTGAGATCCTAATTGCCATGGTTCCGCTGCATCACAAGGAGCAATTGTGAGGAAGTATAGAGAGAGACTTCATTTCTTCCACCTTCCCTGTACGAGTAGTGAAGAAGTATAGAGCACTTTAGTTGGTTGTTGACCAACGGAAAGCATGGGAGAAAAAAAGGAAGAATTTATGCAATTTCTTTTCTAAGAAAGAGATCATAGTGATTGATGGCTCTTTCAATCCGCCGAAATGAAACGCTTTGGCATGTACCAAAATGGAGAATTTGGGTCAGATTTATAAGCTTACGACCACTGAACAAACTTGGTTGACGAACATAGTTTATGCGCCGCTAATTAACGGCTTGTCGAGCATTTGACAAACTCACACCATCCATTTTAAATAGGATTTGTCCCCTGGACACACGAGCAATCCAACCCGTAGGATTTCCCTTTCCTCTTCCCATTCTTACTTCTGTAGGTTTCCCGGTAATAGGGATATCTGCGAGAACTCTTACCCATATCTTACCATTTCTTCGGAATTGTCCGCTCATAGCACGATGGAAGTGTCCGATTATAGCATGACGCGCTGCTTCAATGGCTCGATATGAAAGACAACCAGCTCTACAACTTTTAGTGCCATATCTTCCAAAACCAACTTGTGTACCGTCCGGTTTGCAACCCCTACTACATCTGCCTTTACGATATTTACTATATTTCGTACGTTTCGGATATAGCACGTCCCTTTTTTTTTTACTATATGAAATCCACACTTTGACACCTGAGATTCCGTAACGAGTAGATACTTCCGCAGGAGCATAATCTATTTTCTGGTTAAATACATTACGAGATGTTTTTCCATACTTTCCGCATTCAGTTCTAGCTATTTCTGCACCTTCTAATCGACCTGAACAACATATACGGATCCCCTCCACCCCTTTTTTCATTACTAATGGAATATCCTTCACTATTTTACTAAAAATGGAACGAAATGATCTTGTTTTGTTCCTCGGTTGAAAAGAGATGTCTTGAGCAATCGGAGAAGCACTTTGATAAACAGATTTGATCTTGACCGATTCAATTAAGGTATTAGTGTTTGTTCTATTATACAACAAAGATCGCATTTTTTTCACTTCGTTCAAATAATAGTTGTACCCGTACGGAATTCTTCTGTTTCTCAGTATGATCTCTATCATCATCTCTATTCCCCTTATCAATTCTCCTATCCTATTTAGGTCTATGAATTTCTCTATCAATTCCATTACCTTATCCTTACCCATGAGGTTCCAACATTTTATCCTTAATTGACCTAGGAGTTGTTCCCGGGCATCCTCAAAAAAAAGGTTATTATACACCCCAACCCCATCCCTTGGAAAAAAAAAGGTAGCACCGAAGAAAGGAAAGAGCGAGATGGTGGTTTTTGTTGTTCCCGCGAAGCGAAGATCATTCGCTTGGCGAATAAAGTGGGTCACCCTCTTTTTGGCTTCGGCCAAACACTTTTTCTCGCTGGTCGAGCTTTCTACAAAAAAAGCGATGCAAGAACGTATTCTTTTATCTAAGCTTCTTCCCTGTGCATTAGCTCCCCCCATCGTAGATGGTTCAGCCACGCCCGGTGCCACGAAATGATTGAGAACTACGACGGGGTCGAAATGAATTTTTTTCTTTGTATTCAATAAGTATTGCATGACCGAATAATTCAAGGAAGGGCGGACTGCGGGGAGGGTCCTTTTAAGTAGATGACTCGTCGGGCGGTCGGAGCGGGACTTCTTTGGGAAAAAGAACTTGAATAAGTTTGTTTTTCTGAAGGAGTCGTCATTTTCTATCAGGAACGCTATGTCATTTTCAATCCCGGCGTATTTCGGATGCTTGAAGGCCCCGCTGACACGAAGTGATTTAGAAAGATTCTTCTTTATCGATGGTGATCGGTCATGGTATCCATAGCCTTGCTTCTTTTTCGGCCAAATNTCCACGCCTACTCTTAGAAAGAACACTATTTTTCTTTAGTTAGGTAGTTCTCCCGACCGTAAGACCCTTTATGAGTAAGGTTAATCGAAGGCCGGGGAAAGTTTATTGGCAAGAGGGAACCATTTCTCACCCCGCCCTACCTACCCTATGTATTCGGGGGAGAGGCTGGAACCGAAAAAGACCAGGTTCCACACATATGAGACAGGCAGAAGGTATGGGACGAGCAGTTTCTTGAAGAGCGAATTCTATCCTATAGTCGTCTTCTTTGTTCGAAAAATGCACAGTGGAAAGGGATGCTAGTCGGCTCGGCGAAGTTGTAGCCCAAAAAAAGAAGATCCAGAGTGATTCCTCACCTATCCTGTCAGGGGCCCAGTGGACGCTCGAGTATAGATTCCCTATGCTCATGTAAACGGCCGGGGCCGGCCGGCCCGTAGATCTAAAAGGATCCAGCCATAGGCCTGATCGAATATCGTTTTTCCACAAACAAAACAAACAAAGTTGGTCTTTAGTAGTAGTTCATGAGACCTCGAATTCCCATGTTCCAGCGTGCATTATGCCAACAGGTCCCACCACCAACTCTGGCTGAGAAGTTGAGTCACCCTTCTTTTTTTTCTTTCAGAAATAGAATAGAATAAAGAATGAGATAGTCTATATCCTGTATCGATCATAGGATCACTCTATGAATAGGTCAATTCTCTGTGACCTCCCACCGTTCACGACATCCCTTGCTTCTCGCAAGAACGGCTCCTCGGTGGAGGACTAGAAGCGTTGGTCCCCTTCGGTCAACTTGCTTGTGCCTGATGTTACCTACCGTAGGACCTCCGTCCCCGAAGCGAAGAAAGAGGAGCAGGAACAAGAGGTTGTCCTCTCCCGGCCCAGTAGTTCCGCAACTACTACCGTGGTTGTTGCCAACGGGGATCCCCCATTCCGAAAGGTTACTAGGCCGGCCGTTAGGTCCAAAGTTGTATACCACTGCTATGGTGCCGATAGATTCACTACTTTAGCACCGTTATCGGACATCGCAGGCTGAGCATCTATTTCTCGTATATCGTTCCACACCGAGAAGAGGGATGTGTACCTCTAGCAACAACAAGAATGGAACCATAGGCTCCTATGCTGGGAGCATTTCGGGGTATAGGTCTAACCACCTCAACTCCCCGTTTCTGGCATGCTATAGTTATTAAAGTCTCTCGACGGCGGGAATGGGAGATTACCGGTAAGCCAGATGCTTCGCGAACCATATTCAACTTTAAGGCATTTCGTTGCACTTTAATCACCCTCGTGAAGAGGCGCACTCCGATACCATTGATGTCCAATAGCTTTTATAGTAATGGCTGGATCTACTACTACCTCGTCCATTGAGTATAACAGAGCAAATGATGGTATAGCAATGAACATAGGGATGATACTAGGAAATATGGTCCGAAGAATCTCGATAGTAGTTCCATGAACAACCCTTTGCGGGATTGGATTTTTTTTATAGTGGAAATGCCATAAAGCGCGACCCAAGATCCATGATACGAAAACCAAAATCAGAATAACGAAGAAAAAGACATCGTGATGTAAGTCTGTTATTCCTTGCATTATAGGTGTTGCTGCGTCTTGAGATCCTAATTGCCATGGTTCCGCTGCATCACAAGGAGCAATTGTGAGGAATAGCCATTCTAGAACAATCATTTGGTTTGGTTCATTCTTTGACTGCTCTGCTCCCCCCAAAAAAAAGAGAGACTTCATTTCTTCCACCTTCCCTGTACGAGTAGTGAAGAAGTATAGAGCACTTTAGTTGGTTGTTGACCAACGGAAAGCATGGGAGAAAAAAAGGAAGAATTTACGCAATTTCTTTTCTAAGAAAGAGATCATAGTGATTGATGGCTCTTTCAATCCGCCGAAATGGAACGCTTTGGCGTGTACCAAAATGGAGAATTTGGGTCAGATTTATAAGCTTACGACCACTGAACAAACTTGGTTGACGAACATAGTTTATGCGCCGCTAATGTAGCGGCTTGTCGAGCATTTGACAAACTCACACCATCCATTTCAAATAGGATTTGTCCCCTGGACACACGAGCAATCCAACCCGTAGGATTTCCCTTTCCTCTTCCCATTCTTACTTCTGTAGGTTTCCCGGTAATAGGGATATCTGCGAGAACTCTTACCCATATCTTACCATTTCTTCGGAATTGTCCGCTCATAGCACGATGGAAGTGTCCGATTATAGCACGACGCGCTGCTTCAATGGCTCGATATGAAAGACGACCAGCTCTACAACTTTTAGTGCCATATCTTCCAAAACCAAGTTGTGTACCGTCCGGTTTGCAACCCCTACTACATCTGCCTATATATAAAATTTCAAAATGCAATGAAACATAATATGACATTCGATTGCTTTAATTTATGTAATATAATTTGACAGAACACAAGATTTGAAAAAGAAATAAGATTCCATCCGAGTGAATATAAAATAAGAAATTTATGATTTTAAACATACCATAATATTTATGTGGTTGCAAAGCTTGTCATTAAGGATGAAATGAAATGTTTAAGTTAATTTACTTTCAAATTTAGAAAGCTACGTTCCTTCTTGAAAGGAACTAAGAAGAAACCAAGGGAGTAATAAGATAATTACACGAAACGAATTTATGTGAACGCGTAGGTTAAAATAGATAAATTGAAAATGCCAATGCTAAAGGCATCCAGATTTAGGGATCAAACTTCTTTTCCTTTTATTTTTCGTTTGAGCAAAAGGACTCAAGCTTCAAGTACTTAGTATCTTCAAATACAATTTATGTATATAAACTTTCACAATAATACCTAAGTTAAAAAAATTTTATTTCTAAAATGTTTGAAATAATTGCACTCGAAGAACAATTTTTATTAGCATATTATAAATTCTTGATCCGAAAACAAATCAATTGACAGATGGAGATTATACTGTGAGCCTGCGACTCATCTACTTAATAACACTAATATTTTGTTTTCGTTTATCTTACAATTGCTCGAACTCTCTAAAAAAGGACACTGCAACTGTGTGGCATCCTAAAAAAACTGTTTTTGAGAATTTAACATGGATGCAATAGTATTTTTGAAGGATCTAAGCAACATAAATATTCAGAAAAAAAGAGATTTGCCCTCAAAGAACACATCTCAATTTCACAAGACCAATAAAACCTGACCCCCAAAGAAGAAGTTATATTATTCAAATTGCACACTAAATTGATATCTATAATCGAGCATATGTTAAATCAAAGATAAAAACAACTACCATGATAGGCTGTAAGTGCAAGCTACCAATTCTTTCTCAACTCAACCTGCATACCACAAAGATAATCGGCGGAGTAAAACTCAAACATAAGCGCTAATTGCTTATGTAAAAATAACCACAGTACAAGAACTAGAATTCACAATGATTCATATCTCCTCTTAAGCATCTATTCCCAACTCCAGAAGTAAAGTGTGGTTTAGTTTATTAGCCACTGGACCAACAAATTGAATGGGACCTGTAATCAAAACCACTAGAGATGGTGAGATAGAATGCTCCAGTTTTCCCTAAACTTGTGTAGTATTAGGTGCAGCAAGTTATTGATAATAATCACTAAATAATGCTTCATAAACTACATTCATAAAACCATAACAAAACCAGTTAAGCAAAAGTAAGGTTGTTACAAAGAATATACCTGGGTTAATGTATCGGTTGTTAAGAGCCCACTCTTCCCGCTTTGAAGCAAATTTCTTGAATGGAGCACCTGAGTTCATTCCAAATTAGTCTTCAACTTGGTTGCACATGAGTACAGTTGCATTCAGTAAGAGAAACAGTTTTGATAACTTTAGCATTGTAATAAAACAGAGTTATTAATTTCCCTGAGAAAGGAGGAAACAAATGAAGCACCAGGAAACGAATAGAAGTTCTATTATATCTGCCAAGTTCTAACCTTCAAGCTCCACCATAGCCTTCTTGATCACCGGCTTGAACTTGCCTGTAGAATTGAATGCATTTTCAACATTAAGAGGAAAATTTTGAAATGTTATATCGGGGTGAAAATTGATGAAGGGAAGAACAAGCATTGTACCATGTCTCCTCTCTACGTCCATCAATGCAGTGAGTGCTGTTCCACCAACGGTCCATTCTTCGACTGGAGCAGCCAAGTTGCCGACCTGATACAAGGATAATTAAGAGCAACTTCAATATAATAGCTGATGTGTGAATTACGGGATATTCTAAAATGAGTCGCATGGGTGCACAGTTAAATAGCACAAGAAGCACACACCGATGATATCAACCCTGTCTTCCCACTTTGCAGCAGCGCTCCTGCACCGTATCCCAACGCGTAACAGTATGTGGAATCAAAATTGGATGGCAAGCCACACCTTCCTTCATAACTGGGAAGTGGGACCAATTGTCAATCCTAAGACCTCATTTTGTATAGCCTTGATGTTCATGGCATGACGTAGACAGAAAGTAAAGCATTGAAATCACATACAGAAAGAGTACCCGAAAAAGTGGGATTGTCCTTTAAATTGAGCATTATATCCACCCTTCTGCTTCCTCTGACCCAATTCAGTTTCAACCATTTGAATAAGCATTTTCTCAGTTTCAATTTTAGCTACCTGCAGAAGTACCACTTATATTTTACCACATTGTGTAACACAGAGTAGAATGACTTTAACCATGATGAATAAATACCTGGACATTTCCGTGTGGATCTCTCTCAAGCAGCAGTTGTTCCTGAATTGCTAGGGGCAGCAACTCAAAAAGCTCAAGACACTGGGGAGTTAGCTTCTTTTTCCAAACACCAGCTTCATCCACGACATCATGAGCCAATATTTCGTTTAGTTCCGCAATGAGTTGCTGAATCTGCACAGCGCCACTAGAATGTCAGAACACATACGATCTGTTTCCAAAAGGTTTACAGTACAAGGAAATAGAATACTTTGACCAGGAAAAGTTAATGAAAAACTTCAATTTGATGAGATTAGGTTTGCTTATATGCTGTTTTACCTCAGGAATGAAATCTATAAGTCCTTCAGGAATGAGGATCACTCCATAGTTGTAACCTGACTCTGCGCGCTTGCAGATCACATCAGCAATGTAGTCCGTAACATTCTTAAGAGTCAGTTTCTTTGCAAATACCTGCCAAAATATGACAAGTTTGACATATAGCTGCTTTAAAAGTTTGTTAAACTAACACAATGTGATATAAGCATTGTATAACTACAAGTTAGTGATCGAAGATTTCTTCACTTTCTCAAGGATGCATGCCAAAACAATTAGACTGTATTGATTGGCTTCACGTGCACCTTAAATAACCTTAGTTCCTTTCAAAAAAAAAAAAAAGAACTGTGTTCCTTCCTCCTCCTTTCTTTTTAAACTTTGACACCTTGTGTTTGCATTAAAGTAACAAGAGTAGACCAAAAATAAGCCCCCCCCCCACCCCCAAACCCAACCTACCCGAAAACCAAGATCTTACTTACAATATTAGNCACCTCCCGAAAAAACCAGATCTTTACTTTACAATAATTAGCTTCAATTGTGCACTCTTGGATCGAGAATGTATTTGAAAGCAAAAAGTGTAAACTTTTACAAATCAGACCTAGTTAATTAAATTTACAACGTAGAGCAACACTTCCTATAAAGTGATGCCATTTTTATTCGAGATAAACAGTCATATTTTTCTTATTGACAAGAAACAAAGGTTTATATTTTCTCCAGCGACTTTGGTGTGGGTGTTAAATTAAGAAAGATACCTCTTCTCCAATCAAAGTAATGTTTGGATGAGTTTGCAAAGCACACTCTAGAGTAATGTGTGAAGCAGCACGCCCCATGAGCCGCACAACTGTTACGAGTTAAGGGACAATGTTAAGATATTTGAGATGTATGCAAAAGCAAATAGAGATAAATGAGCAGACAATGCTATTTTCTGCACGGGGTTACTAGTGAACTCACAATGATAGTATTTTCCTGTTGATCGAGCATCTATCATGACATTTCCAATCATTTCTGCATATATCTGTAGATTACAATTGGATTTAGTACATGTGAACCTTCACAGGATAAAACGTGACTATAAGATAATGCAATATTAGGTTTAAAACTTCGAGCAGAATAATGAGGAAATCAGACTATATGGAACATTATTGCTTAAACAAATTCAAAAAAGGTAGCATTTAGAAACAAAGTGCTGAAGTTTTTCAAAATTCCTAGTACTGAGCTTGTTATGCAATGAGAAAATTGTTCTTCAAAGAGAAACCGATCTTCTGTTGGCCAACCAAAATCAAATATATATATAACAAATATGAGGGAAATGGTCATGCCAACCACCAGAAGAAAAGCATCAGGTACATGCCCAACAGCAAGGTTTCAGTTAGCAAGTATATTGTGTTTAAGAGTCTAATATTCTTTTTTTAAAGAGTCTAGTACATATAAATTAGTCTACGTGACAGTACAACTAAGACTAGTTGATAGTAAGACTGAATTCTGAAATATTAACGTCATAGTCCAGATCACATTCCATGCAGCTTCACTTTCTCTACTTTGTTAGGCCTTCCTTTAATACAGATGGAAAGAAAAAGTTGCTACTCAGAAAGAATTACCTTGCATGCCGTATCAAAGCCAAAACTCGTGGGAACCTCTTTGGATTTCAAGTCACCATCTATGGTTTTTGGGCATCCAATGACCCGAGTTTTCAAATTTTTACTTCTGAAAAACACAACTACTTATTTAGCCACAGCAATAGGACTGATTAAAACATAAAAGTATGATCATTTCACCAGCTAAATTTTTATTTTTCATTTTATTTTTGGGCACAAATGTTACCTGAAGTTCTCAGCGAGAAGACAAGCATTTGTATTGGAGTCATCTCCACCAATTACGACAAGCCCATCTAAGTCGAGCTTCTTTGCTGTTTCTTCAGCTTCCTTAAACTGAAATAATGATATGATGGAATTGGTCATCGACTAAAATACTTGTCGATGTGTAATATTCATAGCAAGATAGATCATAGAAGGTGCAGAAAATCATAGAATCTGGTAAGTACCTGCTCTGGAGTCTCAATCTTGTCCCTGCCACTGCAGATCATATCAAATCCACCCTGGAAGAAAGAATGTGAACTCTTACTGACTTACTGTTACTCCTGAATAATGTGACCGATGTAACTGCGAAAAGGATTGAAGTTCTAGAATGTCTTGTTAGCAGAAAAAAGTTACGAGGAAACATACCTGATTTCTGTATGGGTAAATATACTCTGGGGTCAACACCACATACTTGCACTTCATGATCCCAGCTGGTCCACCCCTGAATCCATACAATGTGCTTCCCTTGCAATGAGTCTGCAAGAAATCTACCAACCGCATATACAAAA